TGACGAAGATGGCAGGTGGCTCAGAGCTCACAGGCCTTCGGGTACATTCCCCTTGGAGCCTCCATGTGTTCAGCTCTCCAGAGGTAACCCGAATCTGGTCTTTTGGGGTTCTTAGGAAAGCTTCATTATGTAGGCATGATCAATAAGTCATTGACCACTGATGACCAACTTAACCTCCAGTTGATCACCAAGGGGGAGTTTGGGGACTGCGCCTGAAAGTCCCAAACCCCTAATCCTGGCTTGGTCTTTCCAGTGACCAAGCCCTGCTCCTGAAGCAATCTAGGGGCTGCCAGCACCAGTCATCTTAGTAGCACATAAGAAGATGTTTATCACCTTGGAAACTGCAAGGATTTCTCAGTTCAATGCCAGGAAACAGGGTGAAGATCAAATACGTATTTCACAATACCACAGGGACACATTGTAATTTGCCCATTCTTTTTGCTGGTGAATCTCTTTTCCAACCATGGTAAATAAATGCACAAAGCTTTCCCCATCTTTTGAAAATTTTCCTAACAATAAATTCCCAGAAGTTGGATTAGTAGGTCAAAAGGTGTGGACATTGTTATGACTCTTAAAAATTCCAGCCAAATTGTTTCTCCAAAGTTACACTAATTTATATTTACGTTATAGATTTTAAGATGTTCCCCACACCCAGGAATCTGCCTGTTCTGACCACTTCTCACCACCTACCCTCTTGGAAGGGTGGAATACATCTGCTGATGGAAGGATTGTTCTCTGTACCCGCAGTGGGCAGCAGAAACCCATGCTCCTATGGCTCCAGCTGACTGGGGATGTTAAAGGACCCTGTTGTGACTGAAAGTTTGTGCCTTACCCCAGCCCATGCAAATTCAAATGTTGAAGCCCTAAGCCTTAATGCGATATATTTGGAGTCTGAGCCTTTAAGGAGATATTTAAGGTTAAATGAGATAATAAGGGTGGCCCAGTCCCATAGGACCAGTGTCCTTACAAAAAAATGGAAGAGACATCAAGAGAAAAGGCCATGTGAGGACACAACAAGATGATGTCCTTCTGCAAGCCAAGAGGAGAGGCCTCAGAGAAACCAACCCTGGTGGCACTCTGGATCTTGGATGTCCAGACACCAGTTTAGGCTGCCCATTCTGGGGTCTTCTGTTACGCAGCCAGAGCTGACTTCTACAGTCCTGCAGGATCCTCCTAGTCACGACCGCAGTCTGGGCCCCAGAGTGACACTGGCTAGTTTTCCAGCTTCATAATTTGCAAGGCCCAATATACAACAAAAATGCAGGGTTCTTTCTCCAAAAAGCAAGAGAAAGCTGTCCTGTGCTGCCGTGCTCTCTCGACTGTCACAGTGGTTTTATTTGCTGTTTGTATTGGGCATCCAAAGACACAGGGACTTATGA